AAATATATATATATATATATATATATATATATATACCTAGAAATGAACCAAACATATGTCAAAAGATCAATTTCAGCCTCCAAGCTTCCAAGAAAACATAAATTAAATAAAATTTTTAACAAAATACCATATTCGAACAATTTTGATACTCTTGTAGGAAAAGCATATGCAAGATCAATAAGTCTCATACCTCTTCATATTCTTTCAGCTTCTGCAATTTTTACGTCTAACCAACTGTTCTATTATTGAATGATAGAGAACAAATGGATGCTCGAGTGGCATAAGAAGAGAAGAATTTGTAGACAGCTAACTCGTCTGACTTAAGAAAGGTATATTCTATTAAAAAAGAATAAAAAAGCCGGTGGCACAATCTTTGATTAAAAGATCAAAACAAGTTGATCAACAATTCCAGGCTACAACAAAAATTATACTCTGAAAAACTTTCCCAATTGAGTGATCTATCCGAGCATTTGTGCAATGGATTTTTCTATCAGCTTAAAGTACAAAAATAATAATAAAGAGCTTCCCGCTGTAAAATAATATGTATATAATGGCTAAATTACGCAATAGGATTGGACCCAGGATTCATATCAATCTCTGTCCCACGAGCAGGTCTCCTTGACCTCCACTCGTGACAGCATTCCAACGCCAGACGAAGCGCGGTCCCTAATCCTAACACAATAAGCACACCTGCAAGGGCAGGCTCAATTCAGACTCTTTTCCAGCTCAAAAATTAAAATAAACAAGACAATCCCATTAAAAAAAAAAAAAAACAAAGGAGATTTACATACATACCACTCAATTCTTCCACTCAATTCTTACGTATTTCAATTCTTACGTATTTGCATATATATTACCTGAATAAAGTCACCGGTACTGCTCATAATATAAATGAAGGTATTCTTAGATGTGTTAATTTAGCGATGCGCTATATTTTTCACCAGCGAAGTTGCAATTAGGTCTTCCTAATGTTGGAAAAACACATATTTCTTTCAGATATTTTTAGCTCTCACGCGTCTTCAGCAAAATTACACACTATTCATCCAAGCTTTGAGAGTCTCAAAAACACAAAAAATAAAAATTAAAAGATTTGGTTCTTCACCATGGTTAGTTGTGTGGCAATGTTAACGATTGAACAAAGAGCACTTAAAAACTATACAAAGTTGTTTTTTTTTTTAATTTTTAAGTCATAAATAAGAATAATAGACTGTGAAACAACAATACTTGGTGTGGCACAGCCAAGCAGGCTGACATATGATTACAAATGAATGCAAGTTGTGAAATAATAATATTGTTGTATTTATGATTTTTATTGTAATTAGAGTTAATTTTATCTTTTGGCTTTATTTACTTGTATGCCTTAGTCCTCCTCTATAAAAGGGACTAGAGCTTATGAGAGTTATGGTGAGAAGTGTTCAATTGTAACCTCAAGCCTTTTTTTTTTTTTTCCTCTCATCCAGTGCTAGTGGAATCTCCCTCCCCGTGGATGTAAGCGAATCAATACAGCACCGAACCACATAAATATTTGTGTTTGATTGTTGTTGTGCGAATTTCTACGCTTCCGTATTATTTTCGCATAACAAATACTATTTACTCTCTCTCTCTCTCTCTCTCTCTCTCTCTTGTACCCTTTTCTCATCTCCCTCTTACAATCACTCTAAATTCAAAGAGAGCCAAGAAGTCCAACTCCCTGTTGAATTGGTTACAACGACATTTGGGAGTCTTCTTCAGTGTTATTTGGCTAAGCAGTTTTCTCTCCTTTTTTTTAGCCTTTCAAGAAGCTTAGTTTAGCAAAATACAACCCTGCTTTGCTTAAATTTCTAGATTCTTGGCTTGCCCTAAATCTACCATCCAAATCTAATGGAATATAAAAGAGAAGCACTTTCGTTTTTTCGCAATTGGGATTTTTTGTCAAACAAAGCTTGGGTCTTTCAAGTATGAACACTAGCCCTCTAGACCAACCCCTTCTGTTGCATACAAATATGTAATTGGAATTAAAAAAAGAAAAACTCAAAAAATAGAAAAAAGAAAAAAAGAGGTGAACAAGCAAACCATATGCTAATATTCTCTCAACTTATCTAAAAAAGGTGCACACCCTTCTTAAGACGAAAATTGCAATAGGACTAAATATGAAAACTATCACAAATAATTTGACTCGAAGGAGACTTTTGATGGCATTGAACCACAAGATGGAACACATGGACTTTGACTCCCAACACAAGGAGGAATCTAATCCTTTGGAGCTATTGGCCAGTGATTGTACTTAATTTTTTTCCAATTCAATCTTGACTTCTTTTGCCACCAAGCAATGTGTTGGGGAGTAGAGTGGAAAAGGCTCTTACCCTAAATATTCTATTCCAGAATAAAATCCTCTAAAACATTTGTTGTTGATTACGAGTGCTAAAATGAAGAAAGGTTTTTATAAAGAAGTTGATAGTTTCCGGATAATCTAGAATTGAAGGCTTCCATACACGTTTATAAATTGTGATGTTTTTTTTCATCTTCATCTACAGAAGAAAGTGAACGATCCATCTCTTCTTCAAGATGTGCTCCCTACATCTCTTTTACAATATGTATCCTCAAAGGGATAGAATTCACTACTTTAAAACCATAGTGAAGTGCCGTTAGCTCTTCAGCTAAAAAACATTCAAGCTCTTACAAGTTTAGTTTTTTATACACAAAATTCAAACAAAGATTACGTGTTTTATCTAAGTATTTTAGTTGAATTATTGTATTTCTATTATTAGTATACTATACATTATTTTGATTTTCATAGCAATATGATCATTTGTTAATTTAGAATTAAATAATTTTATCTTGTATATTTTTTTATCATAAACAGAAGTCCTAGGGTCATGTAACGGAAACAATTTAGTAAAATATAATAATAGGTATGCTTCTGCCTCTTAAACCATGCTCTTTAATTCTTCTCCTCCTCTTATTACTCCTCTCTCTTATTCCAACTTCAATTATTCAAAGCAGCGACAAATATTATGTTATCTCAAACTACATTGCAAATGCACTAGTTTTGATTCATGAATCCTACTTCGTTCAAAGCTTCCATATTGGAGAGAACAAAATAGCTATAAAAATGCAAGGAAAAATGGCCTCTTCTCCGTATCACACTTTGATAAAACATGCAGTGTTACATTTAATTCTATGAATGCCTCAATCAAAACCACAAACTTGCTTAAATAACAAGGCGAATTACGGGGGATCAGACCCTAGTCTGTCTGCTAGCTAGTATTGGGCGAAAAAAGAGTTTGATAGGAGAAAACTTCAACCATGATCTGAGAAGTACATCATAAGAGATAAAGCAGGCAATAATCGAAAGATCTTGATAGAAGACATGCGCCATGATTGGGAAGCAGAACATTGAGAAATAGAATCATCTTTATCTCAAAATTCATTTTAAGGAACATAATAAGGGATCATAATCAACAATCACCATCAAAAGATTAGAAGACAATAAGATCAGAAATGCAAGAGACTCCTTTTCAAATATTCATAAATCTTCAAATACGCAAACATCTTATAACTAGACCTTCTGTCCAAATTAAGAGATTTTAGAAAAATTGCCATTTAAAACAAGTAGCAAACGTGGATACTAATAAACTTGCCTGAAAAATAATGCACTCAAGACACAAGAGGACACCAGCCACTCCAACTTTCTCACTATGTATTGAAGGAGGAAGTGCGCAAGAAGAGGTGTGGGGGTGGCCTTTTCTCTCCAAAACCCAAAGGTTCTATTTGATTATTGAATGTAAATTTATTTTTCTTCACAATTTCATTTAAGTTGGTCGGATACAATGTGATTCTTAAGCAATTAGATTCACATAAAAATGTGGACAAATATGTCGTTTTTCGTTGATTTCTTTCATGATAGCAGTGATAAATGACAAGAAAAACATATCAAATTATCATTGAGACTCGCTGCACGAAAGCTAGAGTTTAATTTCAGTTTATATGTCTAGGTTTATATATTTTAATTTGTCATTTGTGTCTTTATGTTTTAGGATGACATACTTGTAATTTAGGGGAGTCCAACCATTATAAATAGCAATTTTTTATGTGGGCTGGTTAAAAAGCGGTTTCTAAACTTATGTTTGTTTCTCTTGGGAGGTTTTGGTCCCCATCCAAACCTAGCCCTACAACTATATCCTGGATTGGCTGCCCAGATGGTGCATAGTTATTATATTGCTCTTAATGTTATTCATGGTTTTTCCCGGTTCTTTCCACTATTCTTGCTGAAATCAGCAACTAACTCCCTTTAGCCAGCATCATTTTGGTATTAGAGCTAGGTTTCTTGCATCCAATCCTTCCCTGAACTGGCTAAGATCGTCTCTAGAATCTTAAAATTGGTTGGCGGATTGCGCTAAAGATTTTGTCAACCCAACTTGTGCAACATTGCTTCTTGATTCTTTCCTCCACATCCCTACACTGCTCTCTCTCAAATCTATCATCTATCATTGGCTGAACCAAGACTTCTTTATCCAGTCCAGCCGTATCCCTGTTGTCCTCGGGATTTACTCTCAGTTTTCTGCACTTTTCTCCTTCTCAGAACTCTCAACACAGTAGATTTCTGGTTATGTTGTTGACGGAAGATTTGAAGCAGCACTTGGCCGCTTCTCTGTGAATTCTGCTTAGTCAAACCAGTCCAGCATCATTTGAACCAAAGCAGTCTTTCTTTCTTGGGTTATTCTCTATTTTCTTCCATATTGTCCAACCACAAAGAACAAATTTTGTCCCTGTCAAGGGTTTCTTCTACTACTGTTGCAATTCCCTTTATGTCCGCAATTTCCTTTTTGTCCTTCTGTGGAAGGTTGATAGTTATTTATCTTGGGCTTCTTGATTCCAATCTTGCCCTGAATTCACAAACGAATTTCTATCCCTGCCTTCTTGATTCCCATTTCCAACTCTCTATCATGCCTCCACGTAATAACGTGTTGAGAAACAATCAAGAAGTGTCCATGGAGGATCCTTTGAGTGAAATGTAGCATATGCAGGAGAGACTTGCAGTATTGGAACAAAATAGTACAAAGGAACGCTCGGTGGCACACAACTATGAGGCAGTGGAAGAAGAAGGGGATGACAATCCTTTTCACCAAGCTTCTTCCAGCGAAGATGAGCAGCCCCTTTACACATGGAGGAAGGACAGACAACACAAAGCCATGAATCTTGGAATTAAGATAGATATTCCTGATTTTGAAGGACGTCAAGACCCGGATGAGTTTATCAATTGGTTGTACACCGTCGAAAGGATTGTTGAGCTCATAGAGGTGCCCCAACATTAAATTGTGAAGCTTGTTGCTACCAAGCCGAGGAAGAATGATTCCCTTTGGTGGGAAAACTTGAAGTGGACAAGGCAAAAAGAGGGACGATCCAAGATTACTATGTGGAATAAAATGAAAAAGGAATTGCAACAAAAATTTCTGCCGGATCACTATCGGCAAAAGGTTTTCATCCGTCTTCTTCATTTACACCAATAGGAGATCACACTACATGAATATGCGGCTAAATTTGAGCATCTTGGATTGAAATGCATTCTGTACAAACCAGAAGAACACACTATTACATGATTTTTGGGTGGTTTGAAGCCTTATATAGCCAATGTAGATCGGGTTCAACCTTATTGGTCACTCTGGGATATTTTTAACTTCGCTTTGAAGGCGGAACGACAACAAAAAGAG